GAGAGAGAGAGAGAGAGAGAGAGAGAGACAGAGAGAGAGAGAGAGAAAGAGGGGGGGAGGGAGAGAGAGAGATCATTGTTTCGCGTAGCGCTAAATATTCGCCGGATTGCGAGAGTGGAACCGACAAGCCGTTTAAGAGAACGGCGAGACAAAATCATTTGCTCGCCATTGTGAATTATTATAATGGTTCGCGTTAGCGAATAGCTTCGGTTCGTTTTCCATTCGGTTTCTATGTTTTCATGTTTATTTCCTGCGAGTTCGCAATTTATTGATCCGCGTGTCCACCACACACACATATACTCAAATATACTGTAATCACATAGAGGCTTATTTAAACAAAACGATTTTCAAGCGATGTTGTTTGACCGTAACGTGCATATTGCTTGTAATGTTGTTTTAATTTTATATTTCACCGCCACGCGTCTATCGTGCAATACTATATATTTGGTTTCCATTTCAATGAGATTCACTGAGGTATTTTTACAAAAAATTTCGTAAGCCACTCGAGATGCAAATTATTATAATTAGCATTCTTTTAATGCCGTTGCAAATATATTTATACATTTTTCTTGTAAAGAGAAAATACGATCTCGAAATGACACTAGGGTGTTCTTTAAATGAAATTAAAGATTATCCATCTAAATGAGTAACGAAGTCCTTATTTAAATATTTCGTTATGCGATTAATTGAAACATAATAACATAATCTCGTAACCAGTGTTCGTTAGTGTTTCAGGTCTCACCCTTTTCGCGCGCTTACACGAGAAGCGATCGACGCAGTACCATTTCACATTAATTTATTCAACATTCGTACATTCATTTTTACGTCCGAGCACTCAATTTAGCTTGAAAGCTTCGCGCATCGTATGGCTGTAATAATATTGCAGTGAAATGACATTCCGCCAGAGTAAAATGTGATTTTTCGAATATATAAAAGAGACTTTTCATTTTCGAGATAAAGTTCTTGCGAGATAAACTTGACTCACGAAGTCAATCGTACTCGAGATATTTACGTCGCGGAAGAAGAACAATATTTTGTCGCTTAGTTTTTGATAAATTTCAATGCAACGAGAAACGAAAATGGTGCAGCAAAAATGTTATCTCTCTCCTTCCACATGTACACACGTGTTTACCTACAAGAAAGAAATATAGAGTAAATAACGTGTACGTTATAGTGGTAATAAACAGTGTTAGTGATAATAGACGATGTACATTCCTTCCTCCTTGAGAGAGCGGGGAACATTACCCATGAATTTAAGATGGGACATTATGTGCAAGCGCTCACCTTGATACCGTAGTTACTCTCCTCGTATATGATGGATACGTAGCTCCAGCTCATCTTCAATACAATGTCGACCATCGCTTTGACCTGGTAGTGATCGCTGGGTATAGTGCGAGTGAAGTACTCGAAGCGTTGTTTGTTGGAAAGTTCCGGGCTCGTTGAGAAAAAGGAGACCTGCAACACGACAACACACCGGCGAATCTACATTTTGAATTATTCAAATATGAAGGGATTCCGTTGTGACTTTTGTGTGTAACGTCGCACGAGCAATGCCAGCTCGTCGCGGCACGATTTCATAACGGAGATTTATATTTGAGACATTTATGCAGCACTTATTTGCTATCTGTGAGTCCGTCTCGTTGATTTGCGCTGTTATTGATTGCAAACTTTCGTGTTTCTCGCGCTTTCGTAAAGTACGGCGGAATAGATGTCGAAGAGAACGAAAGCGTATTCCCGGTGTTATTACAATAAATGAAGGAACTAACAGTGAAGGGAAAGAAAAACGTGAGAAACACAAAAGTCTTATGAGATTGACGTACGCTTTCGGATAACTGACTTAGCACGAAGTACTTTCTTCAGCGCACGATGTCTTACATCCCTGTAACATAATCGCCACGTCAACGGAACCGAGCATTCAGCAGCGATATCAAGTTCCAAGAGAGAACTTCCATCATTCTTCCTTCCCCCCTAAACCGTGAACGTTGAGACGCCAGCTAGTTTCTCCTCTTAAAGATTGGACCCTGATCCTGAAGTCTATCGAAGAACGATAACGGACTTTTCATCGCGTCGCTCACGATGTTATAGAATACGGATGTTTGCGCCGGCATTGGGTAATCCTGTTCTCAATTGCTAGGCGAACGACTAGAACTCACTGAAAGCGAAGTAAACTCAGATCCTTTCGAAAGTGGTGTCGCTCCTGCGGATTTTGAAACGACGCTACCTCCGTCGCGCCCGAAACGGAGCGAAAGAGCGAAAGCGTGTAGCGTAATGGCTAGAGAGGCTCGCATAAACTCCCTCGCGTTTCTCTCTGGGTGGATGAGGAGTATCCCGGGGGGTAGCTACATGCGACTGATGATGTGAAAATAATCGACTGATTTATATCGTTCGATGCCCTTTAAGGCGAACGTCGCTATTTCGCAAAGGCGTCGTGCAGTGGCACAAATTTTGCCGAAAAACATCTCGAGGATGCAATATACAAGGACCGTCGTTCGACTTGGTATCCGGGAGAAGATACGACGTCAAAGGTCAAGAGATACATGGTATCGAGACCGTTTGTTACGAGGCTTTCGAGCATCCAAGAATTCAACAATGTGAGAGAATTCAAAGGTACCATAAGGTTGCGGAATCTTCGAGAATGTAGGCTGGATCGAAGGGCTCGCAAAATCTAAGTTTCGACGAGTCGAGATTCCGAAGAACGAAGTTTTTGGGGGTGCTGTCGAGTTTAAGGGAGTTGGCTACTTAAAGGAAAGGAAAATTAAATACCACCTGCTGTATTCGGCAAATATTTGAAGATGATTCGACGACTTGCCATTTATTGACACAAGTTTGAGGGCTTAAGTATTTAGCTCTTTTTAGCAATTGGAATATAACTCAATTTCAGGAAATAAAAAGCACACACACACATACACACACACTCTCTCTCTCTCTTTCTCTTTCTATACAATATCTCTGTCTACTACTGTGGATACGTATTGAAGAAAAGGTGATTTTGGGTTAATCGCGCGTGACAACTTCGATAATTAATCACTCCTTCACCATGTAAGGCGACTCCTTCGAGATCAACTTGTCAGCCAATACGCGTCGCGTTACGCTCTGAAAAACTTGAGACAGGAAATATGTTATTATACTGCTCTCTCGTGATTATATCAAACTAGTTGGCGAGTTTCATTCGCGATTCAGCTCTTCTCTTCGGCACGCTATTTCGAATTAAATAGATTCAGATTCCTACGCCGTGCGCATTCTTCGACCTGTGGCGCAGCAAGGCCGAATATCAAACAGCCTCGATATTCAAATAGCTGGGATATCATGCAATAATATTCCAATAATGGTCAGAGAATTCATATTACCTGTATTGCATTCTGACAGATTTACAATCTTAATTCGTACGACTCTTCACTTTTAACGTCATTGTTCAATAGCGGCGACGACCGATTAGGGAGCTTAATCAAATTGGGGGAAGAACGGACAAGACGGAAAAGTCGTCAAAAAAAGATCGAAATATTTTTTTTCCCAAAAACGATTCTATAAATATTCTATATATTCTATATTTAGTGTGAACTATTTTCTGAAAAGTTAGCAGAAAGGAAAGCAAACTTTTAAAAATTTTCTTGGAAATAATTACATGAAGAAAAGTGTTATCGATTTCCGATACTACAGATGCTATCCATTAGACGCTGCAAATGTTTTGAAACACTTAACCCCTTCCCCTATGATTTAATTCGAAGTCCGAGGTTCCGGTCTCTCGGCTGTATATCGCTGTCACAACTTGCATCACTATCACTACTTAGATTATATCTTTCTTTATCTGAAAGACGAGATAAAACAAGAAAAAATAACTTCAAAGATCGCATAACGTCTCCAAGACATTATAGTCCAGTTTGGCACCCGAAACCCATGACATTTCGGAGACGTCATTTTAGGGAAAGGGATTAAAGAAATGCTACGGTTAATCCATGCGGCGCTTCAAAATATTTGCCGCATCTAACGGATCGCGCTCCAAATATAATTTTTTTCAATAAAAGTACCAACTAAAAGCTTTATTTTAAGCTCCAGTAAAGCTACACCAACTACATGTATTTTCAAAATTACAACAGTTGAAAAAACATTTAGCGTACAATCAAAATATCCTGTACCTTCGGGACGGTCAAACGTACTTTCACGCCTCGCGTCATTTTCAAAAAGTTTTCATTGTGCTCAGAACCAGTGAACAAAAGACACTGAATATATATCAGTATGTTAATTACCACATTTACCTCAAACAGTTAAAGTATTTAGTTCTTGTTGAAGTGTACAATCGGTCTCTCGTTGGCTCATCGCGTTATTTAACACATGTATCTCCGATTGAGTCGTGTCTGCGCGAGTATTAGTGTCAGTACCAGTATTAGTGCTAATAACTTGGCTCCTGAAGCAGCCAAGAGCTAGGATGCAAATCAGGAAACTAGATGGAGGACGCTGGACGTTGAGATACGGACAGTGATACATCAGATATGTCTAGGTGTGTTAAGTTACTTATATTAATAATACGATTACGATTTTAACGGATGTTTGACAAAATTGCTGAGAATAAGGAGACTCGAGTTGAAATTCGAGTTGAAGGCTGGCATTCGTAGTTCCTTATTAGACAAATTATAATTTGACAATTGTAGTTTTGTAAAAAAATTACTTATACTTATTTATTTCTAAGTAATTATTTCATAGAATAAGAAATGTTGATCCAAGCAGCCGAAGCATCGGTTCATAAATGCGAAATTGTAATTAACTGTATTTTCAAGAAAAGTTAAATAATTCAGAATTACGAGTATCGGCTTTAGAACATAATATAAATCTTATCAGTGCTTATTTTTACGTCTTATATTAAATCTTAAATTATATTAAATATAATATTATATTAAATCTTATATTTACGTCTTAATAATGCTTCTTTATTCGCGAATGCGATTTGTTCTCATCTGCCAGCGCTTTCTTCTCGTTTTTATTTGTAGTTGTATGGAATACAAATTAAAATCTCTGTTAGTAAACACAGCATTATTAATGAATACATTAATGAATACTGTTATCTTTACCTTTACAGCTTATATCTTTATATTAAGAGCTACAAATCTCATCAGAAATTCCATAAAAAATAAGAAAAAAAGAAATGTTTGGAAGAGATGAGATTGTCTTGTTCTTTTACCCATTTATCCATACTTTAATGTGTGCCACTCTCTCTGCCCATGCTTCGTTACGCGCGTGTACTTACCGTGAGACACTGCTGTGTCTCTTAGTATAGACGTCGTACCTCGAGATTCTTCACTGGCCTCATACGCTTGACGATATTGCACTTAACATAGAATCTAAATTTCAACTCGGAATCCATAACACGAAGAAGAATGTTTATGTATATGAAGGCGAAAATGAGATCAAATTTTACGGTTGTCTCGCGAGGCTTGTAGTCCCTTTTATTATTATTATATATATATATATATATATATATATATATACATATATATGTATGTATGTATGTATGTATATATGTATATATCCATTCTCTTGCGTCACTGTCTCGAGATTGGCTCGGTTCGATTGACCTCGATCGACGTTCGATTCGTGTTAGCTCGCAACGAGATTTCCAGAGACGTTCGATCTGTAGCCGAGCGTACGTCGATGCGTTCGCGCTAGATGAGTTTATGTAGTGAGAAACGAGGTGGGCGGCGTTATCTCGCGCCGCGAAGGTACCAGCGCTACTTTTCTCCGGGACAATGCGCGCGTCCTATCATACATCGCGCGGATGTGCTGCACGCCACCGCGAATATATTTATCACGGTTTGTCAGATTCTGAGTGGCCCTCTCTGCTATACTCGTGCCATAGTGTGCGCGCCCTTCGTCCGACGCTACGCGGCCCGCCGCACCGATGGAGAATCATACGAAACCGCGATTCGATACGCTCGATTGGCTTTTGATCGATTGATTATAGCTTCTGCTGTTTTGTGCCGGGATGAAAATACTAGCGAAATAAGCCCGTGGCGGTGAATATTTGTGGAGCTTTCCGGAGAATAATTTCCCGTGCTCGAGCATGAGCTCGGATTTTAAAGTTGAACTCTTTTTCGTTATTTTCCCTTTGTTTTGCGTTTACTTTCGGCTGTTTGCTTTTTCCCTTTTTGTTAGCAGTGTCGCTGTATAAGTCTGGGAAACTGCGCGAAACTCGGGAAAAACTCTTTAAATTGATAATGCCCGGGGAAATGACGGAGAAACTACAAAAATCTTCGTGGATTTCCCACTTCGATGGATAGGAAAGAGAGGATAAATTATTCAACGGCCATTATTCACTAATATTTCGATATTATCAGTGTGTGCAGGTGCATTGTATTAAAAAAAATAACACGTTAATGGGAAAGAATTTAATTACTTTATTTCAATCTTTTAATGTTTTGTTTCGTTACATTTTATATTTTTAACCCGTTACATTTTATATTTTT